CATAGTTGTTTCTCTGATAAAGCAAGAAATTTGCCACTTATTCGGAGAGATACCTACTACTCACTCTTTTAATTGAATTCTTAATCTAAATTTAACTGGGCAGTTTTCGAGAAAAACTTTTCAAAAATTGGTTAAAAAATCCCAAGTTTGACTTTCCAAAATCTTTAACGCTTGTCTGCTAAAGCAGAAAAATAAACGCTGATGCAGGGCAGATTCCCAAACTTTGTTCTTTCAATTGAACCCTTAACCTCAGATTTAGCACAATTCTTTTCGAGAAAAGTGAAAAAAGACTTGCATTAATAAGATACACCCAAATGTCCCACCAAACTGTACCTTCTGCCCTGCTCCCCACAAGGCGTTACACCTATTTAACTGTCCACAAATTCGAACAAACCTGACCACAAAACACCTGTGGCTTCGACCGACTGAGGTCGCAACAATCCCTGCACTCGGCGAGAACATGCCGGACACCCTCAAACAACGGCCTAACAACAACATGGCCGACAAAAAAATATATTGAATATTTAACTTTTTCTAGCAAACAATATAAAAACATCGAAAGTCGAATTAATTCATATGCGCATGCTCAAAACACATTTTTTGGGTGACATTTCATGAGAGCAGACCGCTGCCAGTAATTTTGTTTAACAAGATGTTAAACTGAAAAACAATCTATAAACCGATTTCCGATTTGACAACGCCTGCTAATCGCAAGCGTAAAAATAATTTTAGTCAACATATTTTCAACAACAAACTAAAAATTATGTATCAATGCAACACTAGTGTTGCAATCTATACTGCTCGTGTGGGGGTGATTCTTGGTTAATCGTTCAAATGGAGACCCTTAGCTCAATTTAAGACAGCCATCCCAAATTCCCGTGCTCGTCACAATTTAATTGTTTTTTTTTTCAGTTCAAAGCTGTAGTCGCTTCTATACGAAGATTATTTAAATTTTAACTTTATCTCCCTCCCTCTGTTTCTCTCTCATTCATTCAAAAAAAACTGAAAGTCTAACCGCAAAAAAACTAAAACACCTTGAAATACAAAGTTCCTCCCAATTTTTCGAATGGTCGAAACAAAAATCAAACTGTTCACGGGAAAAAGTCTAGTATCCAGTTGCAACTATGAATTTTCCTTGAACATCAAACAGATATCTTAACGTCTTAACAGGAAAACCACTTTCATGAACAATTATCATTTAAGCTACGAATTGAAAAAGTCATGATTGAAAAACTCGTTTAATTTTGAACAAAAACGTTCAACTTTGAAGACGTTTACTTTTGAACGTTATGAGAAACAAACAAACGAACTGCTATCACAAAAAACAAAAGAAAAAAGCGAAGCTTCGCACCACTTTCCATAAATCAAGAGAGGCCAGCTGGCAGATAGAAAAACCAGACAAAATCCACTAAGCCGAAAAAATTGTAGAAAAAAAAACGTCTGAGAAACAATTGTTTAAAATTTTTAGAAAATTGATCGAAAACATTCAAGCCACGGATCCGGAGATTAGGAGGCTTACAGCCCAGCTGCACCATGGGCTCTTGTAAATAAACAAACACAAATGGCCCAGCTGATACTTGAAGTAGCTCTTTGAGCATTCCTTAGAATATGTTTAATTGATGCGGAAGGAAATGCGTAATTATCAGTGCGTGAAAAACGGACTTCACCCAAAACCATAGTGGTTTCTCTGATAAAGCAAGGAATTTGCTACTTATTCGGAGAGATACCTACTACTCACTCTTTTAATTGAATTCTTAATCTAAATTTAACTGGGCAGTTTTCAAGAAAAACTTTTCAAAAATTGGTTAAAAAATCCCAAGTTTGACTTTCCAAAATCTTTAACGCTTGTCTGCTAAAGCAGAAAAATAAACGCTGATGCAGGGCAGATTCCCAAACTTTGTTCTTCCAATTGAACCCTTAACCTCAGATTTAGCACAATTCTTTTCGAGAAAAGTGAAAAAAGACTTGCATTAATAAGATACACCCAAATGTCCCACCAAACTGTACCTTCTGCCCTGCTCCCCACAAGGCGTTACACCTATTTAACTGTCCACAAATTAGAACAAACCTGACCACAAAACACCTGTGGCTTCGACCGACTGAGGTCGCAACACTCCCTGCACTCGGTGAGAACATGCCGGACACCCTCAAACAACGGCCTAACAACAACATGGCCGACAAAAAAAAATATTGAATATTTAACTTTTTCTAGCAAACAATATAAAAACATCGAAAGTCAAATTATTTCAAATGCGCATGCTCAAAACACATTTTTTTGGGGTGACATTTCATGAGAGCAGACCGCTGCCAGTAATTTTGTTTAACAAGATGTTAAACTGAAAAACAATCTATAAACCGATTTCCGATTCGACAACGCCTGCTAATCGCAAGCGTAAAAATAATTTTAGTCAACATATTTTCAACAACAAACTAAAATTTATGTATCGATGCAACACTAGTGTTGCAATCTATACTGCTCGTGTGGGGTGATTCTTGGTTAATCGTTCAAACGAAGACCCTTAGCTCAATTTAAGACAGCCATCCCAAATTTCCGTGCTCGTCACAACTTAATTGTTTTTTTTTTCAGTTTAAAGCTGTAGTCCCTTCTATACGAAGATTATTTAAAATTTTAACTTTATCTCCCTCCCTCTGTTTCTCTCTCATTCATTCAAAAAAAACTGAAAGTCTAACCGCAAAAAAACGAAAGCACCCTGAAATACAAAGTTCCTCCCAATATTTCGAATGGTCGAAACAAAAATCAAACTGTTCACGGGAAAAAGTCTAGTATCCAGTTGCAACTATGAATTTTCCTCGAAAATCAAACAGATGACTTAACGTCTGAACAGGAAAACCACTTTCATGAACAATTATCATTTAAGCTACGAATTGAAAAAGTCATGATTGAAAAACTCGTTTAATTTTGAACAAAAACGTTCAACTTTGAAGACGTTTACTTTTGAACGTTATGAGAAACAAACAAACGAACTGCTCTCAATAAAAACAAAAGAAAAAAGCGAAGCTTCGCACCACTTTCCATAAATCAAGAGAGGCCAGCTGGCAGATAGAAAAACCAGACAAAATCCACTAAGCCGAAAAAATTGTAGAAAACGTCTGAGAAACATTTGTTTAAAATGTTTAGAAAATTGATCGAAAACATTCAAGCCACGGATCCGGAGATTAGGAGGCTTACAGCCCAGCTGAACCATGGGCTCTTGTAAATAGTCAAACACAAATGGCCCAGCTGATACTTGAAGTAGCTCTTTGAGCATTCCTTAGAATATGTTTAATTGATGCGGAAGGAAATGCGTAATTATCAGTGCGTGAAAAACGGACTTCACCCAAAACCATAGTGGTTTCTCTGATAAAGCAAGGAATTTGCTACTTATTCGGAGAGATACCTACTACTCACTCTTTTAATTGAATTCTTAATCTAAATTTAACTGGGCAGTTTTCGAGAAAAACTTTTCAAAAAATTGGTTAAAAAAAGCCCAAGTTTGACTTCTCAAAATCTTTAACGCTTGTCTGCTAAAGCAGAGAAATAAACCCTGATGCAGGGCAGATTCACAAACATTGTTCTTTTGATTGAATCCTTAACCTCAGATTTAGCACAATTCTTTTCGAGAAAAGTGAAAAAATTTCTGACTAATTTCTGACTATAAGATGTGGTTGTGCTAAATTTATACTAAATTCTCTGCCAAAATTAGGGATTTGCAGCTGAAGCAGGGAAAATGTCACCAACCTGTTTTCTCGATTGAAAAATTGATTTCAGATTTGGCAGGGTAAAAGAAAAATGAAAAAAAATATCTCATAAAACGATAAAATATTCTATAAAAGAATTTTTTCTTACGACATGCGAAAATAACTCAAAACAATTTATTGTACCCTTTACAATTTTACCCTTTTGGAAAATTTGTACCCTTTTTTCAGTTGAACCCTTATTCGCAGATTTGCGAAGTTTTTTTGAGAAGAAAAGTTTCACAAAATTCCCAGCCTTTTTTAAAACCATTATTTTATACAACAAACAGGGCGTAGCCGTTTCTCCTGTGAAAAGTTTGATTCAACTCTCAACTGGGCCGTAGAATAAGCGGTTAGGTAGAAACAAACTAGCGTAAAATGCAGATACAGCGACGAAAAATTGCTGCGAAAAGGCTATCATTCAAAAGCTTCTCAAAACAAACCTTATCCCATAAACTTTCATAAAACCTGTTATTATCAAACAGGAACTTGCTAATAATAAGGCGAAATTCAAAACATGGCATTAATACTCTAATTATAACATGCTATACAGTAAGATCATATCTGAATACTTCTAATGAACTCAGTTTTTGGCCAAAAAAAGACGAGGTTTTCACACAGAAGCAAAGCTGCACTTCGGTAACACCAGCGATAAAGCGAAAAAAAATCGGGAGCTTTAAAATGCACAACATTTTGCATTTAGTAATTTGGAATACAATAGACTAAAGGCAAGCACACTAACTTTGCATGCAAGAAAATAAAATGTAGTAAACCAAATTGCATATGAGTTTTGCATTTCGAAAATCTCGCGAAATATATCGAGTTGGAAACCTTTAGAAATGGGATTTTAAATACTATACTGTTGTATGAAACAAATAGCTTTTTTCGGTTTAATTGATGAATTAAATTAAATATCAACTGTTAAATTATTACTAATCAAATATCCATGGGATTATACTGCTAACGCATCCTACTGATTCAAATGCCACCAAAAGTAGCACTTTTATTTGCGATTTAGGTTAGAAAAAAGTTGGATCGTACCAACGCACTACGCTACGCTCGTGTAAACAGGTCTTCAGGATATGAGGAGAGTTTCCGCTGTAAGACCTCTCGTGGGGGTAGGCCTTCAGAAGATGAGTCGAATTTCCACAGTGCGGCCTGTTAAAATTGTTCACGAGAAAACAAGTCTAGTACACGGTTGCAATACACTTGCTCTCGCAAATGTAATTAATGAAACGAACGTTAAGTTCATGCTGAAACTAAAGTTTGATACTAAAACGTAAATTAAAGGTTCACTTCAATGCAAATTCTATTCAAGTTTAAACAACAAGCATCGGGTTCTCATTACAGCAGTTCAATTTTTCAAAACAAAGTAAATACCTACTGCAAAAATTAGTCTCATAAATTCGTAGTTTTGAAGGCGAGCTTCATGTAATGTTTTCAATCAAACAACCATAATTTCTACAAACGGCTCTGAAAAATAAGCGTGTGATGGCCCAGTAGTGACGGACCACTAAATATCTCATTTCACCCCTAAGATCGATCATCTTCGCTTCGAATTTACACCAGGATAGCATAAGTTTGGTTGTCGCAGCAAATCAAAATCATCTTATCAAACTGTTGATTTCTAGTTTTGACCGAATTTAGCTTTTTTCTTAGCGCGTAGCACAATGATTATACACTTTCAGACGAATCGCTCGACATTGTTTCCACGTCATCCAAGCGACTATTGCTGGCTTGATGCGGGAAACTGGATTCGACGCCTCCTGGCTCTGATTGAAAATGAGCACTCTTCATCTCCCATTGATTCGTCAAACTGTTCGATGTCGACGAGTTTACCTGAAGGAAAAACAAAAAAAAATTTTTTTTTTGTAAAAGCAACAGGACAAGCATACCGAAACTTGAAATAATTTACGAATTATTATCTAATAGCAACATGAACAACATACAAGAATTTTCTTCGCTGCTTACCGTAGCTGATCACTTGATTGAAAACTTATCACTTTTTATTAATTTCGGGGTTGTCAAATGTGCGCTCCATGGTCAAACAACATAAAAAGAGCAGCGGGTTGATGTTCACAGCAGAATGCTGCAAGAGCAAGGTAGAAAAGAAGAAAATATATACCCAAAAAATATCAGAAACAAATTTAACTTAATTGAAAACGTTGGAACCTGAAATATGGCTAACGAGATACCACACACGATAAACTACGAGCTTGCTTTTAGGTCTCTGAAATCTAAAAGAGCGCCATTCCTAGCTCGTAGAGGAACAATTTTTCATTATCGAACAGGACTGGAGCTATCTAACCATTTCTACAGTAGATGATGCGGTAGACTCCATTTGCGCTTCCCGAATAGAGGGAGGGACTGCTTCGAGAAAGAGGTCAGCAGGAATGTTTTCAACAGATGTGATCTGCAACTCATTAAGTCGTCCCAACCATCCTGCCCGCATTTCGTTTTCTGTAGGGTAGGGCCTGAAAAAAGGATGCACCGAGAATACAAAAATACTTCAAAATTTGGAGTCTCACTGAAAGTTTGCGAATAATACCAATTTTTAAAGCAGCAGGTGCCAAGAAATCGCCAATGCTATGCAGCAAAAATGCCACCAAATATAAATAAATTTGTTAAGCGCGCATTCAACCTCCGACCAATCGATTAAGCGTCTTGGGTCCTTCTATCTGTGCCACGAGCGCTTGATTATCGGCTAACTCTAGCCACTGAAAATTAGAAAAAAGCTATGAAATTTGAACGGTACAGAGCGTGATAAGAGCAAAAGTGTCATTAAATGAGCATTTTTATTTGCGAGTTTGGTTTTAAAAAAATCAATCATATTATACCACAACGCTTACAAGCTCGCCTGTATAAATATAGCCAACAGACAGTTGGAAAAGCGTTAACAAGCTCACATAAACTACTGTTTATGGGAAAAAACTAGTACTGATTTCCAAATTTGATATAGAACAAATTATACACATAGGCGAAGCGGATGCAGTTACGCAACACTAGCTTAATTGTTGTGATAAACATTTTGAAGGGTTTCAGGGAATTGATTGAGTGAATTGATTGATTTTAGTACCGGGGTTGTATCTATCTACTCTGCATATTCATTGGACCATACGATCAAGTTGATTCCATAGGACGATCGATAAAGTTTCTCAGTAGAAGTTTTACTTTCCCTGGTTTGAGCTTCAACGAGAACGCTAGAAAAGATTTGCAAATCCTACCGGAGAAAGGAAGACTTGGTAGTTCACAAAATTATAATTTGTCAATTAGAACAGTTCAGCATCCCCTCATTGAAGCAATAACAACATCCCTTTTTCCATCCCAGATCTCCTGCATTTGATCCTACGTTAACAGGATCGGATAGCTTGTATCTGGTACTGTCACCAGATTGACACGAAAAATAATCAGAAAGACTTGAAGGACAACAATTCCCACCATGGACGCTAAGGGAAAACTATTATATCGCAGCAAACGAAAATAAAAAAACACATTTATCCTCGAAGATTTCGCCAAGTTTCTTCGTGTCTCGTCTGAGTTTATACTGCTCTCAACTGTTTGGAGGAAAATTGGCAAAATCATCTCATTCAAAGAGAAGGGAAAAAGCAAAAATCAACCATCTCAAAAACGATGACCCCGAAAGAATCAAGACCTCACGCGAATACAGTCAAAAAAATCGAAGAGGGTCACTCTTATGTAATCCAGTTTTAATGACTTCGTGCCTTTGGAATTTTGTGGCTTAGGAGGGGTATCGTTGGACGGAATATTCAGGCTGCGAAAACTCGAAGCCAATCAGCGAAATACCCCTGTGGGGAAGGCAGTAAATGAGTGTAAAGATGGGTCCTTGCCTTGCAAAAATACCAGGCCTTCTTTGACTGTGTAAAATTGCCTTGATAATTGCAAACAACAAGCTACGAAAGATAACTCCGAGCCAGACAATTAAGCTCTTAATGTCAAGAATTATCAGGTATGAGGAAAAACTTGATGAAAACAAAAATAATGCTACTGAAATTTTCAGCTAACGTCGAGAAAACGTTTAACCCAAATTTCGGGAGTTTGAACCAAAGGAAGAATCGAAAATGAACGTAATACTAGAGCAGCAAGTAAAACTTCACAAATGAAAATTGTTTGACCCAAAACAAGCTGAAATAAAACCTAAGAAAATGAAAATAATAATGCACGAAAAACTTGTCCAACAAGAAAAATGCGGGACCATCAACAGCTGCTAGATAATAAATTATTCTTTTCCGAGTGAAAGGGCGTTCAAAACAAATAGAGGATGACCGATGAACGAATGGAGGATGACATTAAATTCTTCAATGACTTTTGTTTTGAGGTTTGTACAATCAAATGTTTGATCTTTTTAGACTGACGGTGATCTGTTTTGATCGAAAGTGCTTTCATTAAAGCTCACGCATTGATTGTTTTTCCTGAGCGACTTTAGTTTAAATGCATTGGTACTCGACGAAGAGGCAAAGAGAAAAAAAACTATCAGACCTGTTGAAGCAAAGACTTCGGAAGATCTGATAAAACACAAATTGGTCGAGGCTAAAGAAAGGGACGGCGATGAGTCAAACCAAATGGTCTATTCACTAAGCGGTTACTGCGAACGACATTCAAATTCATAAAAAAATTAGTCGATTCAAACCATCAAAGAAATGAAATTGAATAAGTTCGAGCTTCAAACCACTGCTTTACAATGTACGGAATCTGTAAAAACTATATCGACAACAAATGAGTAGTCTCAACAAATGATATAGGGAATGGCGATATGGTTTTAATTAACTAAATATCATCCTGAGTGATAGACCAGTAAAATGGACAGGTATTTCCAGCCATGGAGGAGTAGATTGGAATTAGACGCTATATTAAAGCAAATAAATACAGAAGTGCTCGAGTTAAGTGAGTCTTTCAATCTGGATAAAATTTTCGTATCTGAACCTTTTTTTCTTAGCAGTGTTGTACAGTTTACCAAAAGGAAGTCTATATCGAATCAGCAGTCTTAGCAAACTAATCTTGCGGGAGACTTTAACTTGCCAGCCATTGAATGGGGATCTTGTTTCACAATCAATTGTCACGATACTGCCTTTGTATCGAAAACTATAGAAACCAGCAAGAGACAAGTAGTCAATTTACATACCGAATAAGTTCCTGTCTAGATCTCGTTTTCAGTAACATCGTCGCCTTGATTGCATAAGTGAAACAAATGGAGGACCCAGCTTCGTTTTCTTATCATGTGTCCATAGCAATTGATCTGATAGTCACAGAAAAACACGAGAAATCAAACCATCACATTTCTACAGTTCCCGCAAATCTGACTTTGGAAATCTGGCGACTGAAATGCTCATCAGCCCTTTCTACCTTTGTTACAAGGAATGTGAATGTAATTACCGTTTGTGGTATAAATTTATCTTTGAATTAATTGATAAGTATACGCCTCGTAGAACTCTGAAAAGTCTTTCACCCTGGATTTGCCCAGAAACCTCCCATGAATACTCCAAAGAAAAGCCAAAATCAAATAAAAACAAAAATTTTTTCGAAGAAATAAGAAACTGTTGTCTGGAATGATGTTTCTTTGTGCGGAAAACACTTCCAGAAACACTTTCGACGGCGTTTAATGAAAATTCAAGGAAAATTATCAAGCGAGAAAAAAAATCAAAACCTTTGAACTATATATATTCTGAGATTCGGAAAAGAGCATACAATTTATGGTTCCCTCCAACGACCCTAAGTTAAGCTAGCCGATTAAATATAAGCTGAAATCATAAGGGCCGAAAAACTTTTTAGGCGAAAAAAACAAAAGAAAATATACGAAGTCAAGTTAAGAATTACAAAATGCAGGAGTGAATGAAAACATAAAAAGTAACTACAATGAAATCTGCGTACGGCAGAAAAAATCAAGATGTGGCAACTAAGCCGACATAACATAGCAAACAATTTTATTGAAACTTGTGAAAGCCATGAGAAACTTGTGAAACAATTCGAACCCAGGACCTTTACCATCCCAGGCATATTCGTTAACACCAGACAAAGTGCGCCGGAGACGCTTAGATTATTGAGTTCATTATGAACCAAGATACCAAGTGATTCTGTTAAACAAATTGTTAACCCAAAAAAGTCTATATTCCGATTTGATAACGCTTACTAATCGCAAGCGTAAATATGCCAATTTGGGGTGATTGATTCTATAATCTGCTTTACTCTTAAGTTGTTTGGCAGTTTCGAAGTTTTGCTAGTGAATTGATATTTTTCACAATTCCAGTTTAAAAAAAAAACAGCAGTAGTAAATCCAATTCGGAAAATTTTCCTTGTTTTCACTCACTTGGGACCATTCCTCTAAATCAATATCTTGAATGGGACTCATATTAATGGCAATATTTCTAAGCGAGTACCATAGGCTATTGTTTTCCGTTCTTAACCCAGGACAACTTGTGCTCTATTCATGGGATTTTCGGAAAAAGCTTTATTTATTATTTTCACAATTAAGTACTTTAAAACATTTTTACTCTCCCGTTACCTTCTAGGGTCACCTTGTTCCCAATTTAAAGGTGCAGCAACTGAGTGATCTACGCTTATGTAGTGCGAATATTTGACAAGGTCATTCAGATCAACACTATGCGCTTTCCGACATCTAGTCAGCTTGTTTTGAGCTTGGAATAAAACTTCTTCCAAGTTGAGTTCTGCTTCTTTCATCTGCCGAAAGGCAACAGTTAATTCTTCAGTTTTGATCAACTCGTCAGCTGCCTCCATTATCTAACAATTTTCATCTGAGCGAACACTTTTAATTAAAAATGTGCACATTTTTGGCAATCTTTCTTTTTTCTACAGAAAGGTTATATTTACTTTTAAAAGAATTAGGTATATTTATTTATAACACGAGGCCAGCACACTAGCCAGAACACTAGAGTGCAATATAAAATATTAGAAGTAAGCCTCGAATTAGCAAAAAATCGGGTGGATCTAGTCAAGTCAAGTTTTTTTATGACCATTAGGCAGTGCCTCTTGTGGTCATTTCAAATGTTCTTTCTCCGTTCCAATTCGTACATGTCAATTCCAATCGCTTTCCAATGTTTGTCCTGTTTCCACTTGAATTCGTCGATGATCCTGCTTTGCACTGTTTCCTGTGGCAGATTGTTCCAGTCGAGAGGTGCTGTTATCATGAAGAAATTTTTTCGCATTTCTAGATTTGCTACTACTTTACATGCGTTACCTCTAGAATCGCTATCATTCCACTCGAATAGTCCCTCAGTGGCATTCATATCATAAAAACCATAGCAGATTTAATACATTTCGTTCAATGTCCCTCTTTTCCTTCTGTATTCCAGCGATGATAGATTCAGTTCTTTAAGGTATTCGTAATAGGATAGATTTTTTATACCACTAACTAGACGCGTCGCTCTTCTTTGTACGTTTCCCAAAAGATCTTTTGATGCTTGATCAACCTAGGGTGCCAGATTAAGTTCGCAAAATCGAAGTGTGGCCGTATCAAGCATTTTTAGATGTTTAAAAATACTTGTTTCGTGACTTTAGTTAAGCTTTCTTTAATTACTGCTATCATGCCGTTTGCCTTATTGGCTTTTTTATTGATGTGTGTTTCAAATGTCAGTTTGTTGTCAAGCCAGATACCCAGGTCTTTTTTGAGTTGCATTTCTTTTATGTTTTCGAAATTGATTTTATAGTTCTTCAGCATATCCATTTTCTTGGTTCCTATTGTCATCAGGGATGTCGAATACTCGGACTTTTTGATATTCGTTATTCGCCGCGGCCCAACTATTCGATATTCGACTTCGGCCGAATAGTGCCCTTACTATTCGGATTCGGCTTCGGCCAAATGTTACTACTCGAACAACTATTCGGATATTTGGTTATTTTCCCAAAAAACTTAGCATAAAAGTTTGATACAACAAATTCTATAAAAAGTATTGAACATAGCAATTTTCAAGTAGAAAATAGGCGCTCTGGATCAACACTGGACGGACGAAAATTTTCCAGAAAAGCGAAAATGTCAAACTCATCTAATTGGCAATTGTTATTGAACTCTGCAAAAGACAAACCTTCTTCCACAGCCACATATTGATGATCATTAGACGCCACCTGTGTGGCACTTTCGGGTTCAACAGCGAACTTTCGAATAGTTTCAAAAAAACTTGCGTGTGTTTAGTCATCGAAGTCGTTGACGCCCCAATACTCTTAATCAAAACATTGCATTTAATGCACTTTCTTCCTTCCGTTTTTCTACCACCTCGATATTCCACAAGAAACTTTTCATGCCATTTTGCCACTCCTTTTTCTTTTCTATACTCGCACTCGGCAGCGACATCAGACTCTTCTACATTAGCCATCTTAAAAAAAAACAGAAAAATATTGTGAAACAAAACAGTAAACCAATATTCGGAATATTCGGGTTTTTTAGCAGTGGACCCTGGATTATTCGGTATTCGGCAAAAAAAAAAAATATTCGGATTCGATATTCGGATTTCAAAATTTTAATATTCGGATTCGGCTTCGAAGTGCCGAATACTCGGTATTCGGGTCGAATACTCGGATTCGAATCGATATCCCTGATTGTCATGTGAACACATTTGTCGATATTAAAAGACAAAAGACTCTCACCAGACCAAATTTCTAGTGAATGTAAATCTTCATGTATGCGTGTTACATCTTATTTGTCTTCAATTTGACGGTATAATTTTGCATCGTCAGCGAATAGATAAATTTTTGACGCTATTTTGTCCGGCATTGTAATGATGTATATTAAAAACAGTACTGGGCCGAGTACTGAACCCTGGGGTATGCTACTTTTTACTGGCTGCCATGAGGATCTTGAATCGTTAATTATCACTCTCTGTTGTCGTCCCGAAAGAAAGCCTGTTATCCAGTTCAAGGTTCTTCCAATTACTCCATATTGTCTAAGAACTCCGATCAGTCTTTTATGTGGTACCGAATCGAAGGCTTTCTTGAAGTCCAAGTATATCACGGGCTTCTGGTTTGTCCATTGCCCTGGTGAAGTCATCAATTACTTTCAGGAAATGTAAGTTCAGCGAACATTCAGATCGAAAACCGTGTTTTGCATTTGTTATAAGCCCTTCTTCATTGAAATGACCCATTAAATGCTTTTGAACAAACTTTGCGAACAACTTGCAACATATTGATGTTAAACTGATTGGTCTATAAATATCGGCCATCTATTTTTCTAACCTTTTTTGAATTTTGCAGAAAAGTTAGCCAAATGATTTCTCGTAATTCGAATAGGACCCTAGGATGAACTCCATCTGGTCCAGGCGACATTGAAATTCACTAGAGTCTAGGATTCGATCACCAACCTCCTGCAATCAAGAGATAAGAGATTTCGAGGCTCACGCACTAACCACTAAGCCACGTACGCTTAACCATTAAAAAACACTAGTCACGAAGAAAGCAGCTACATATGCTAAATTACCAATGCGATTCAGCATCACTAGTACAACTAGCGTGTAACTCACCTCCGGTGCTTCGAAAAACCATAAACAACTGCAGATTTGGAAACCAGATTTCCAGCCTTCGAGTGTAATCTAACAGCACCCAATAACAGCATTGATAGTTTCAATTTTTTTTAAGTGCAACCAGTGGGAATAACTTGAGAATACCTCAATGTAGACTTGGAAATTTCAACTTTCGTGATTTTTTATTTTTAAATTTCCCGGAAAAAAGTTTCAAAAAAATTCGTATCTTGGAAAAAAAGACGTTTGAGCACTCATATTTAGAGGCAAGATTTCCAACGCCTGAGAGTAACCTGACAAAAAGTTTTTTTCACCATAAGGTTAGGATTGTCAAATATTCAGAAATTTTATAGTAAATTTTTTTGAAAATTTTCAAAAAATATATCTAACTGTTTAACTTTTAAAAATGTTTCAGTGTTTATTTTTAAAATATTTAAGTATTCAATTTTAAAAACATTTAAGTCTTCATTAAAAAAAATACACTTCCCCATTTGAAATTAATCTATTTGGATGCAAGATTCGCAAACCCTGAGATTACCCTAACAGCGCCTAGATTTAGAGAACGGGCCTTGGAACACTGTGAAGTTCTGTAACTTTCGCCTAGAAGTACAAACCGATGATCCTAATAAAGCTAGGTTCTAGGACGACTGGCTAGCGTCTCAACAGAGCTTCACATGCTTTTAACCGTCTCTGCCCAGGGAATTCGATTTAATGGAGTCGGTCAATATCGTATATCGAAATCATGACAATATTGATATAAAAGAATAAGCTCAGGGTAAAACAGTCCATTTGATTGAAAGAATAATTAGAAGACAACTTAATGTTGAATATCAATATTTTGCTCAAAAATGAAAAGAACTTGGTTGAACCCATACATTTCAATTGAAAAACCCTCTATCTTCAGTAAACACATTTCATTTTCAAATGATATATCGTAAGCCTACTCCTCTCTCAGCTTTAAGTCAGTCATAGTTCTGGTTCTTCCTCTATATCTTGTACTCATTTTATTACTCAAAATGGTTTAATTGATGCAATTTTCTGTATCTTACTATCTGAGCAAAACTCTGTATCAGTCAATATTCTCGTTTTAACTCTGTATCTTTTACTCAAACTATTGAACAAAATGTTCTTCTCAGTGCAAAACAGCAACCTCATGTTCTCTATAGAAATTTTGCTTGATCTAGTACAAATTCAAGTGCGACAAAAACAGTCTCTGGAGTATAGTTAGCCCGAATGAACATCCCAATCCAATTCTGGCACATGATGGAAGTGATGCGAAGGGATTTCAACAAACATCATATGATGTAAGTATCCATCACAGAAAACTAACGAGGAACAATGCAAATCATTCAGGAAAATTTTGAGCATCTGGTAATGAATTATCCCGATATTCTTGACTCTAGGTATGTGGCTCGACCAGTCACCGTTTTTTTCTTTCATAGGGGCGAAGCAAGATCAGTCTAAAATCCCATTGCAAAAGATGAAGGTGAGGGCTTGCCAGAAAAACTGACGTCGCGAAACACACCACAACAACAAACACCAGCGATGGAACCTCGACAATCACTGCGTTCTATAGAGAACCTCCAGAGTTCTCTTCAGCTCTTTGGTTAATATTTTTTGTGCAAATTTCATGCTTGATTTTTATTGCGTTCTTTGTAATAACTAATTTCATCAATTTCAATTTAATTTTGAGAAAAAATGAGAAGCTCAGGGAAAAACAGTCCGTTTGATTGAAAAGCAATTAGAAGACAACTTAAATTAGCGCTAAAATTTGCACGCACTTTGAGAAACTTGGTCAATTTTTGGGCACATATCAGAAAAAAAACAATAGAAAACTGGCACCCAAGTGAAAATACCAGATGTTGTTTGAGTAATGTGAGAGAAAATGAAACAATTTTTGCAATTTGTCAAAAAATGAAAAGCCCTTCTCGCATCTTGTCGGAAAAAAATTCAAACAGTTTCCGCATATTTTAGGAAAATTGAAACAAAAAATTGAAACAAATTTGGCATCTTCTCAAAAAATCAGATCAATTTTTCCTGCAGTCTTAATTTAAAAATTTATCGAGTTCCTTCAATTAATTTTAGTTATTATTAGAACCATATTTTTCAAGTCTGTGGATCAAAATCAACAGAAAAACGTTAAATTAACATAAAAAATTGCGGTAATTTTCTAAGTAATATGTCAAAAAATTTTTAGAACGAACTTTTATTTTTTCGCATTTTCATAAGGAAAAGAGAAATTGGCTTTTTGCGTAGTCTTTTGAAAAACCAGGAAAAAAGTGCATCCTACAAAAAAAATCTTACCAATTTTTACATTTTCCAGTATGTTGTAGATTTTCTGAAAAATTTTTACTTCGTAGAAAATATAATGAAATCTTTGCTCAAAAGTCAGGAAAAATTCCCCAAATGGCAAAATTTCAAAGAGAATTTTTAAATACTTGTTAAACATTACTTACATTTGTCTGTTAAAAAGTAATTAGTCTGGAATAAATTTAACTTTGAAATTTTTTCATATAAAAATGTTCATTTATTTATTGTGAAAAATGCTGGTCCCAGAACTTTTTAAAAACCAGCTTCTCGATAGAGCTCAGAAAAAGTCTTTAAAATTTTTTAAAAATTGAAAAACTAATCCCAACGTTCCACGAATTGATAACATCACATATTAACTTTCAAAGAACAGTGATAGTTATTGATAAATTCGACCAGAGAAAGATAACATCACTCATTAAAATCAAAAACTTCTAAAAGATAGAATCTACACATTAACTCCTAGATTTTTACAACAAATCCATAACATTCACTTCTAGACTCTTCTGATCTTCTAAGTCTTACAAATTTTCATTAAAACTTTAATCAATCAGAAATCCGGGATCAATTCCTTCCTATCAAGTTGATGGGATTGATGAAAAAACCAGTCGGTTTTGTATTTTTTGCTATTTTTTGTTTTCTAACTAAATGAAGATGCTCAATCAGGGTTGTGAAAATTCGAGGAAACTCTTCCTTTTTCAAATATTTTTTTAAAATTTATTTTCAGGCCAACAAAAATTTTTTATTTAAAACTTCTTTAAACAAACAATGTCAAGTATTTTGAAATTTTGAAGAGACAAATTGTTCTCTTTTTTAATCAAAAAGACTGAAACATTGGTAAATTTTGAAGCAGATTAATTACTTTGTACGTTTTTACAGAATGTAAGTAAAATCTATTTTTAGCTGGTAATAAGAAACTGCCTAGAAGATAACATTTCTTTTTATTTGGAAATCTCCTGCAGTTCATTTCATTCCAACTCAAAAACCAACGCGAATAAATTTTTTTTTTAGAAAAAACGGAAATCTATCGCAAAAATTAGCCAATCAAAATTGAATGAGCAAATTACTGCAACCAGTTTGAAATTGTGAAATTGGTACCAAGTCTAAAAAAATCTCGAATTTAATAAAATGCCCCAGTCTAGTGAGAAAAATTTCATAGATCTCTCAAAATCGAGAGAACTAGAGAATAAAAGACATTGAAAACTTAGAGAAGATGTCATATTAGCTATCTCTAAGTCACCTTCGAGAAAAAAATACCTGTTTTCATTTGATTCAAGTGAAAAAAAAAATGATGAAAATGTATATCTATGATATGAAAA